AGAGTGTCCCATAAGAGTGCCCGACAAGAGTGTCCTACAAGAGTGTCCCACGAGAGTGTCCTACAAGAGTGTCCCACAAGAGTGCCTTTCAGGAGTGTCCTACAAGAGTGTCCTGTAAGAGTGTTCCACAAGAGTGTCCTACAAGAGTGACCCACAAGAGTATCCTACAAGAGTGTCCCAGAAGAGTGTCCCACAAGAGTGTCCTACAAGAGTGTCATTTGGACATATGTAGCTTTTCGAACGTGTTTGCATTCGGGTTCGTGGGCTCCATCTTGTTTTTAGTACCTAGCTAATTACAGCAATTTCATGTCCTTAGCCGAGAGACACAGGTGTCGTAGCCGGCCAAATACATTGGAATAGTGCAGGTTTCATATTAATTGCTAGCTGATTAGACTAATTTGGGAGCTGTCGTAGCTGGCAAAATAGATTGGAATAGTGTAGGTGTCAGAGAAAGTCCTACGTTAGCAGAGAAACAGTAAAGAGAAAGAGAACCAGCACAGGAGGCATATATGATTGGTTAGAAGTTTATGCCCCGGGGAGTGCACCTTAAAATATTGATTTTGTGGCAGGCGCGGGTGTCGGAGATGAAGTGCAGATTTCGTGGTGCGGCGGGGGTTGGGGGGGGGCGCAGCGCCCCCCAGCAGCACACCAGATCCAAAGGTTAGAAAGCAAACAGATGGAAAAGCAAAAACAAAAAGAGAAAGGAGAACAGCTGCCAAAGCAGAAAAGTAACAAAAGCAAAGAGCAGAAATACAAAAACACAAAAAGCAGAAAAGCAGCAGAAGCAGAAAAGCAGCAAAAGCAGAAAATCAACAAAAGCAGCAGAAGCAGAAAAGCAAAAGCAAAAAAGCAAAAAATCAGCAGAAGCAGAAACGCAGCAAAAGCAGAATCCACAAAAAGAAAAGAAATAAATAACGAAAAAAAGTCCCTCCTTACTTAAGTTTGGTATGGTCTGGTGAGTGCAGCCCTGACATCAGAAGCAGCTTGCTGTTCCAGGGCACTGCTTCTCGCGTTTGAAGCGGTCGTCGTATTTGGCGATGACTTCCACCAGTCCGGGGCAAAGGCCACTGATGCTAATAAGAACTTGAGAACCCATCTGGGCATCCAAAACATAACCTCATTGAGTTGACATTTAAAACACTTCAATAAATCTTAACAAACTCAAAGGGACTCGAAACAAAAGGGCTTGCACAAACTCCGCAAAGGCAAGCAGCCAGGCTCATCCTTTTGCATGTTGGGAAAATGCTTTGCCAGCATGCCGGTCGCAATCATTTTCTCAAAGTCTTTGGGATAACTCCTTGCCATGAAATGCATTCATCATTCTACGTTGAGCCACTGTAGAAGAAGTCGACTTCAACTTCATATTCATATGTCATAAACTAAATGCCGCTTGGGCTCCAGAAATAATAGAAAATATTGCACCAAGACACTGCTCCGGGAGACAGTGAAGTACCACCAAACCGTTGCGCATTCACTGTAGGAAATTCTGACATTGTTCCAATTCGGAAGTCGCCGTTGACCTTAGACATTGGACAGCTGCAAACAAAAGTTTGACAAGTTGGAAACACACCGTATCACCATAGCAAGTTACAAGTACTATTCTTGCTCTAGTGTAAGTGGCTTAGGTCTATACCCAAAGACCTGTCAAATGCTTCAGTTGGAGAAATTTGTCAACGGCCCAATCCGGTACGAAGCCAAAAAGCTTCAGAACTGCCTGCGCAAAAGCCATATCAGCTTCAAATTGCTTTGAAGCTCTGTTCGAACCATTGCCAACATACACTCTCTTCACGCCTGCACATTTTCCAGTCTTTTGCCATCTTCTAGGTGTAGCGTGGCTTCAGAGACCTTCTTGATTGTTCCCAGTACCACCTCTGTCTTTCCATAGTACCTGTCTCGAATTTTGCTGGCACGGGGAGGACACTGCCTTTCCAAGGCCTGGAAAGGAAGTAAATGTCTCCGATGCCAAAACGAGCCTATCACATACTTTCGATATGGCAAGCATTCAATTGAGCAAGACAAGAAAAATAGAGAGACAAGGGTTTCAAGAAACAAAAGCTGACCCACACGTTCGGCCTTCTGAAAGATTGTGACGTTTGTTCGCGCTTCGTTAGAATGCACGGCATAATAGCTCCACCTTTGAAACCAAAAACTCCCCAACCACGTGGACATACCCACAAGGAGGGGTGCAGGTTCAACTTGCAAGTCTTGTATAAGGATTTTGCGGGTCATCACCAACCATCTTGTACACATCCTCGGAGCGATCTGTGGATAGTTTGCAAACTTGCGAGAGCGGAGGTTCGAACAAAACAATTGAAATTGACTTAAATGACTTCTACATGGTTCCACTTGCTTTTGCTTCTGGTGTTTTTAATGCACTACCGAGTCGTACCTCCATTTCTCGAAGAACATCAGAAGACGCTATGGGAAAAATTGAGCCATTGATCCACCACCTAGACGCGCAAAGAAGAATGAAAAGAAGCAAAGTAGAAAGCGAAATGATGCAAAGCTGGAAGCAAACACGAAGTCCAGAAGCCAAACTAGATTTCTAGGATGCATGCGATACCATTCGCGGCATGCACAGGTTCTTCCTCGGTCTACAGTGTGTCAGAGAGTCAAGGGAGGACTGACAAGCGTCAGCAAGTCCAACCAAATCCCGCATCAGCCTTACTCACTTTAGTCCAGGCAAAAAGAAAAACTTCGCCTGCGGCACACCAAGTAGATCTTCCCTGAACGGTGCTCGCAGCCTCAGTAGAAAAGTCTGACATGGACTGACCTGACTTTGAAAACACATGTTGCTCTACCTACACTATGTGCTACGATGGGTATGTGAAGTGACGAGCCGAAAAGGCTGCTTGGGATGCACCGGGCAAGGCAAGTTCTAACCATAATGTTTGGAGCTGTCGTCCCATACATTCCATTTGTGGAGAGGAAATGGATCGCAGAATCATAGCCACTTTCAGCCTCATATTGATTAGTACAAAGACTGTATAGTCTGGGCGGCTGCTTCAGGATCAATTGTAAAACAGTTGCCTACTGTTGCGGCGGCACAGATACTTGGTAGCTTTATTGTAAAGTCTTCCCAAAATAGATGGAATGTAATGTGTTTAGCCATCAAATGGCTTTGAAGACTTCATATCCTCTACTAGTCTACTTGAGGATGATTGTACTTTCTGATGCAAGTTGATGCAGCGCGACACCGGTCTGTGCCGTGAAAGGCCACCAAACAACAGTGATTGACTTTATTATCAACTTATCATGTTTGCAGCTCCGCAGGCTGACTCTCACAGGGGCTCAAATGCAAAATCGCTGGGAAAGAAGTCTTGAATCCATTCTGCAGGCTCCTACATTACGTCTCGGCCTGAGGGATACCGATGGCAAAGCTTTTTTCAGTCTACTGCACCATCCCAGCTCCTTATCAAACCTTGTCCACTTGCCTCTACATGGTCCAGGTCTTTATGACTTGTTCTGAAATTGCACACAGTCTCGTATTCGTACGACTTTAATGATCTTTCACTAGGGTTTGGTGCTTGAAGGAAAGTCCTAGATCCAGATGTTCAATGTGCTGCTGAAAAATTATATACGAGTCTCTAACATCATCAACTCCAAGCTGAAAGCACAAAACCATACAAAAACACTGCGTCATCTGGCCAAGCATGTATCGGGCTTGGCAGTCCAGCATGTGCGAATGTTCTCGACCGCAAAGGCGCCGAAGCCCACGATGGCTACCTGGAAGCTGTCTGGATTCCACTCCACATTCAACAAGCCATTCAGCCAAACAGACAAGTCTATGTACTGTAAGCAGATCAACACAAACAACATACCAGGAAAAAAAGAAAGGTAGCGAGGGTGGCGCATTCTTTCCCTGCAGGGCGCCATAGTTTGTCTCATCAAACATGCCATAGGAGATAGGGCCCTTGGGTGGCATTCTAATCTTAACACATTGTACTTCACATTGCAGTTTCTCCAAAGAAAGGCCATGACTCCAAAAGTGTCTTCACCCTTGTACTCCTTGCACAGCATGACACAATGCTGCTCTTTTCTCAAACAACAGTGCAAAAAAACACATCACTGCTATTGTCACAGCACCTTTCCCGTCCTCTCTACGGGGGATGGTCAAGTTTCCAGGATACATCACCAAGCTGGAAACCTCAGCCGAAGGCATGGGTGTCACTCTGTGTGACCAGCACTTCCCAATGGTCATTGATGGTCTACATTTGTGCTAAATTAATCTATATAAATTGGTTAACAAAACACGTATACCACCGTATACAGCTGTGCACAACAATGCTGGGGAGACCGCAGTTGTTTCCCACTCCTGATGCAGTGGATTCTGTAAAGCACCAATCCATCAAATGCCGTTTTATTCAACAGCTGCAGACTCGACAGAATCACGTTGACTCCTCCTTGCCATCAGTTGAAGCTCTCAAGTACAATCTGTAGCATTGGTTCGCTTGACCTTCATTCAAAATCTCGTACCTGCACAATCACTGGCTCTTCAACCCAAAGTGTCATTGTGTTCAGAATTTACCAAGACTCAAGTGCCTTTGCACATCCGAGCTCATCTTGAAATATGGTTTGAGCCCCCACTCATCACACACCTGCCAAGTGAAGAAGCAATTCATGAACCAGCAAGCGAGTCCGTGCAAGTTGGCCTTGTTGAAGTGGGCCAGCAGGTCATCCCTTTGCGCGAGGGCAATGAGAATACCACTTTGTTGAACGTTGATAAGACCTTGTTAAAATTGCTCAGTGAAATCCAATGTGTCAATGGCACGGACCTGCTTGGCCAAGGTGCCATGTCCTCCAACTGAGCTCCAAGTCACATGACACTGTGAACATGCAGAAGAATCAATAACAAACCAAAAAGCGCCTGGGGGCACTCGCATTGGTCAGAATAGTTCAAATGGTAGGTTCCCAGCTCAGTTTGGACCTCAGGCTGTCCAGCAGCATGCCAAGCAATCATAATATGTCTACCCAAACAAGTGCAAATCTGGCCTTGGACCAAACATTTGCGTGATCCAACCATGATGTTCCCCCAATCCTTGCAAGGTACCCAGTTGGCAGGAATGGTAAGAATCAGCCTGTGCAAACTAGTTGTTGTTGTCGTCGTTTTTCATCAACATATAATCTTCTTAGATTCTTCATCCGTCATGTCAAAGTATCATACGGTCTTCTACATATACAAGTAGTTGACTCTGTGAATAGGCTTGACAGGCATGCAGTCCTGTCGTGCCGATCGAAAAGAATAAAGTTTGTGTCCTTGTGCTCTGCAAAGACCAACGCCTCGCATCAAGCAAGTGAACTTGTTCCTGTGCCCCTGTCCAATTTGGCACAAAGGACGATACCGGGATGCAAGGTCTGCTTCGCATCCAATACATATCCGTCCAAAACTGCAGAATATCTCGAATGGCGCCTGTCGCAAGCCATTGTGTCCTGCTCCGATGATCGCATGTGGATGAGGATACCTCCAGCTTGAATTGAGGTTCGCTTGTCCACGGCAAGCACTAGTAAGTCCGGTTTGTTGGAAGGCGTGCAGCGAACCGCTGAGGTTTCAGCTGCTGCCGCTTGCGGCGAAAGCTGTCAATGCCTCGTTTGTGCCCTCTCTAGCTGCCTCTCTCTCTCTCTCACTGGACGACAAATCAAAAGAGGAAAGACAAAGCGTACAGTAAGAGGCTGATATGATGGCACAGGCCCTATGCTTGCCCTTCGCATAAAACACTAAAACACTCAAGGTTTGTTGAAACATATTGGGACAGCTTGAGGACATCTCTTCAAACAATTTATGTTATATATATATAGAGAGTTGTTCATTCACTTGCATTCCAACACACCAAGTTGAGTGGATTTGAAGCTCACTTTCGGTCGTTGCACTTCTGTTTTGCAGGCAAGTGCATCCCAATTGCGTGCCGCAGTGCGCTACAAGCACATTCCATGTGGGTTCAATTAATCTTGACTGGTGGCATTGCAGGAAAAGCCAGCCCAGCCCCATTCTCTATATTGACGTGCAAGTATATGCTTATTTAAAAGGAAACAACACGTGCAAGTGCACAACCTGGGGTGAAGTTTCGCGTTTCCACATGCATTCCGAGACTGGAAGATGAGTTCCAAACAGCAGTGCACTTGCGCAACAGGTTACATACCGAAGTTGTAGAGTGATTGCATTGTCCATTCACAAAGGGGCTATGCTGTGAAGTTCAGCACCTTTCGCATGTTTTTGGCAAATATTGAACTTTGTTGGCTGACTCTACAATGTGACTCATCCTGCCTTTGATGACAACTTGACTCCGCACCTGCCAAATCAGAGAACTAAATTTGTTGTGTTGAACCCCGCGCCAGCCTCATCGGTATTGCGAAGTTCCTTCATGAAGGGCCCTCCTTTAGCCATCACTTTCATATCATCTATGTGCACACCAGTCCTTGCAAGCACTTTGCTGGAAACTCAACATGTTTTAGGCCAAAATAATCCTAGACTGCTAGACTAGACTTCTTGGCGCTGAACTTCTGAGAGATGAGTTCTTTAACCACCAGTGTCTCAGCCAAATGGTTCAGAGCGTTGAGATGCCACAAGAAATGAACAGTATATAGTAACTTAGTAATGATGTGTTGCCGATTTACAAATATTTACAGCATCAGAACATCAGAATCCCAAACAAAATACTTCTAGACCCTTCTGAGATCTGCACCCGTGTGCTCACAGTAACAGGGATCTGCATCTCCTTCGCCCGCCCCGTTTACAGCTCTCCTTCTTCGGTTCCTATGTTCAGTTCCCATAGGCCATCTTACCGGCCTCTCCAGTGCCATAGATCTGCACGACACATATCCGAGCCTCAAGGGGAGAAAACCAAACGTGACTCATACGAGAGAAAGGAACAAAGGATGGACGGGAGAAACATGCTTTTTTGTTTGTCTTTGTTTCTTTGGACCTTCAGACTTCTCGTTTCTTCTTTCTTCGTTCCTTTTTCATATTTGGGAAACATTGAGAAACTGTCTGAGTCTAGAACAGTCTGGCTTCTTTGTCCACCCACCGGTGGAGCCTGATACCAGGGACAAAAGTGACTTTGGACTCCAGCAAAGTGATCAGGGAAAGAACACATGTAACACATTGAAAAGCAGCAGCTCTTCGGTCGAACACCAAGCATCCAACCATGCTCAGCAAGCCAACAGCAGCAACTAATGCTTGGCAGCAGCTCTTCCAGGGCTGAGAAATCCCTTTAAATTTGCTAAAGTCCCTCAGAATACTACAAAGTGCCTCGATGGTGTCCTCGCACTCTGAAACCGAGGAAAACCTTGCTCTTGATCTGCTGAGTTTCTGGTGTCCTTGATATATGATAAGCTGTGCATTCAACTGGATGAGGGGGTAAAAGGGGGGAGAGATGGAGATGTGGTGTCTACTGTTGAGGTGACTTCTGTACTTCTGTTTCATGGCTCAGCTCTAACCGCAACGGGCATCGTGAGCTGCAGAACAAAACAAATAATGCAAGTCTTCGCACATTCACAGTACACGGAAAAACACCACTAGGCGTTTGTTTTTGGCTCTGGATCTCGTCTCAGTGTCAACACTCGCCCATGGTCTGATTCTCCAAAACAACAGGTGAAACCAAGTTGGTCTTCCGTCACCGCAGCAGTCCGGGGCTGTGGTATCCCTGTCAAGCCAGGTAGAGTGAAGAATTGCAATGAAACAAGAATAAAACGTCTCATACGATGAAACTGCATAAAATCTATAGACATTAAGCCTTAATCATTACATCCGACAAACCTCAAGGGTTTATTTTACCCCGAGGACGTCCAGGGCATATGTTTGTTTTACAAAAAGGTTGCATTGGCTGAAACTTGACACCGTGACGACTCACGAGCCTATTTATCGCAGCAGAAATGAATGGATCTCGAATGTCCAATAACAGCTGCAGGTCAAATGGGTTGTAAATGTGGCGGTTCACGTTCTGCCTTTGCAGCCATCAACATCTGTTCATCCAGGCTGGTATCATTGGATATATATAAATATATACACATATACAAGTATATTCCAAAAAACATGTGGAAAATTGTCTGATGCTGGTGGTTGCAGAAACATGGCTCGAGATGGACAGTGGTTTTGAGTTTTGCATTGGCAGAAGCAAAACTCATATTTGGCTCGTGAGCCTCTCTTTGTTTCTTTATTGAGGCTCAGCCAAAGGTATTGCAGGAGAGATTTTGAAGTACTCCGATGCATGGCAACCGACACCCTACCTTGCAAGTCCATGTAAGTCCGGGAGACGTGGTGGTACAACCTTCAGTGGCAGCGCCGGCAGCGCCATGGTGCGTATTGGTCAGGTTGGCACGGACAGGACAAAGATCATTTTGGACGAAGATTGATAAGATTAAGATGATGATGCACTGGAAAAAATCCTCCCAGTGCCTTGGCGCCTTCCAAGTCCGCCGTGGTGCCTTCCAGGAAACCCGCAGCACACGCCGCACACAGGTTCTTTGCGGCGAGATCCTGGCCGAGTCCTCGAACAATCCTTAGGATCATATCAGAACACATCCACCCCTCCACAGGCAGATCGAAACACTGTTCCTTTTCCCGCACTGCATATTCGACGGTCTCTTCGCTGCAGCTGGTTATCATCTAGACTCGCGAGTTTGATGCGGAAATGGGCGACCAACCGCTTGGGTGTGGTTTGCGTTGGCTAGTTTGTTTGGGGTTTGGTTCCGTTCGGTTGGCGAAGTTTTGGTTTCAATGGGCCGGGCAATCCAATGATTGAACTTATGTGATAGGTCACGTTACCCCGTGAATGCGCATCTTGAGATGGTCTGGATTCTGCTCAAGCGTGAAACTCAAAAGCGCCTTCCTTCCTTTCTTGCTTTTGGTGCAAAAGTCTCGAAACTGCAAAACAAACAAAACACGGGAACTGGAAATCAAAATCTGGAATGAGGACACCTACAAAGCAGGAAACCTCAAGACCAAAAAACGGAAGATCAAACGATTCCATTGCCACGTCGCGGAACGGGCAAAAAATGGTTCGTCGGCTGATGGTGTGGTAGACTGCTAAACACACGTTGGCACCATCACAGCCGCCGCACACAGATTTCTTTGTGCCCTTGCTAATCTGCACCGTTTCCCTCATCTTCCTTCCAATATTTATCGACGTTCGGCATCTCAAAAAAGAAACGCCAAACTCATGAGTTGGTCTGATCATTTTTCCCGCATGCGTCGCGTAGGGTTCCCCTTTATAGTCTGTCTCGCTGGGGGGCGGCATGACTGGCGGTGCCCACGGTGCTTGGTGTTACATGG